TAATATTTCCCATTCTTTTCTTCTCCTTCTCCTTCATCTTGTTTATTTTAATCGTTCTTTCTTTCTCTCTTTCTCCCTTCTTTCCATCATCTCTCAATGCGTGTTATCTTTACATCACCGAAGTGTTATCACCACTAACAATATCATTTCGGAACTCGTACGCTTCAGCAAGCTCGGTGTGGGTGCCCTCCCTAATCCCCGTTCATCTTTTCTCCCTCTCCTCTATTCCTTCCTTTCTTTCCGTCTCTCCCTCGCCCTCCTTGCCCTCCAATTCCCACCCACATTCACTTGCCTCTCACTGCCCTCTGCAACATTGCAGTCAAAGAACAGAAGAATGTGTATATTTACAGCTACAATCACGCCACATCAACATTACCGCATCCCGGCAGCTTTTTTGAACTGATAATAAAAGTGATTATTATAGACGTCTTTCTGCTGGAGTGGGTGAAGGTCGCAGCCATGGATAACAAGGCAATAATACTAGCTGTTATGCAAGTGATATATGCAATACGGCTTTTGGCCATCATAATGTGTATAGTCTTGTAGGAGATTATCTTAATCATAAGAAATCGTTTATAACAGTTTCGTAATTACTGTCAATAGATGAAATAAATGACAAGTCTTTTTTCGAGTGAGTTTCTTTTATTCCTCTTTGAAAAAAAAAAAAAAAAAAAAAAAAAAAAAAAAAAAAAAAAAAAAAAAAAAAATATATATATTATATATATATATATATATATATATATATATATATATATATATATATGTATGTATGTACATAAAGTGCTGAATAAAATGTACCTGAACAAAAACTGAAATACAAAAAATGCAGTCCTGTTTCATTATGTCGAGAGGGAAGTGTACATAAACCCAAAGTCAGTAAATATGTAGAATTCCAGTCCTAGTTATTCTATTTTCACGTCCATTTGCTATGCTTATGCGCAATGCCACAGCTGATGTGTTCATCTATATACATTTATTAAAACATACGCAACACACGCACGCACTTACAATGGCTGACTGGAAGCAATCAGGGGGCAATGTCCTGCAGTGGAATGACACAGGCTAATAATGGTGATGATAATGATTATGTTGCTGAGTTCATATATACGAACTCGTGGCATGAAGGGAGAGATAAAACACAACGGGCGGAAACGACCTAACGGGACTGTTGTTTCCTGTCTTGTCAAAACAGCAAAGGATAAACAAAAACAGCTCTTTGTACAGATCAGACTGTGTAGTCTACACTATCGAGAAACATGATTCTGAATGTAATCACCCCCTGAAGCATTCCTTTAAGATTTACGTTGCTTACGAGGTCACGAAAAGCTGGTTGTACAAAAATCGAGAGTTCATGGCTATTTCTAATTCTGGAAAAGTGTCTGAAAAAAGACACGAAAACGGGTTAGTATATTTAAGATGGCTAATGATCTTTCTATCTGTCGTGAAATTTAGTTCCAGAAAAAAAACGCAACATTAAACCTACTGTATCATTCTGAATTCACTCGCAATGTAAAATGTACACAAGTGGTGACAAGAACCTTTGACGAAGTACGGCTCCTCACTGTGCACCACTTCGCCTTTGGATTGGGAAAACACCCTTTTACAATAACTGTCATTCATATTCAGTCGGGGCCATATACGTACTCATATAGGTCTATGGACTTGGCCTATGCGGTATTTTTGGCCTCGTGCAGTCCGCTCTAACATCATGTTTTCTTTGTTTTCTCTTGCTCTCTTTCCTCTGTCATATTCCTTCTTTTATGCGGACGTATCTTTATAAAGAGCGATAGTTGATGTTAGAATGACATTTCCAAGTGATTCCCTCAGCCGTATATTGCTATACGTGAATCTCAGCTTTATTTGTCTTTCTTTTCATATTCTTACAAAAGTGAATAGAGAAGCAGGTAAAGAATGAATAAATAAATGAAAAAAAAAAGTTGGTCATATTTCAGGTTATCGATAATTTGGTTTTCTATTTGAAGGTGTTCATCTGTTCAAGATTTTGTGTGGATGTTATAAGCAGAATTATCATTTCCTTTGTCTTTGCCTTTTGTCTTTTCTTCGCAGGGTACTGTCGGGGGGGGGGGGCATGGAGTAATAAAATTTTTGACTTCGAATTAATCTAAACTTTATCTCACCTACATTACCAACATGTAATTATCTCTCACATCAATAAATTAATCTTTCCATAGTGTCCTTTTCCCATAGCTACTGACACCATCACACTATTCATAACTAAGAATAACAATCTGAAACAAAGACAGCCTCTGAGCGGTGCCACAAAGATTATCATATATTGCTCGGGACCACAGAATGAAAAAGGTTGGGAACCAATGCCATAGATCTTCAATTTACCAATATCAAACCTAATTCTGGTACTATGATGCTTCTTTAACTTTCACCATCATCATCATCAGTTAGTGATTACTGTGTATGTCATTTCCTTGGAAAATATGCGTTTTGTTCCATTTATGCGTGACATAATATTTCTACAGTAAGACAAAAATTATTTGTTTAGCGCCATCTTACTGTTCTCGATTCCTTGTATTGAAAGGGTGTATATGTGATGATAACTCTGTATTGTTTGAGAAAGTCGCGTATAAACACACGTCCTTCTGCCTCCTTCAGCCAAAATGTACCAGCCACCCGCTTCGATTTCTGCGTTTGAGTCACATTGGATAACGAGAAAGTCCTTCGTATTTAGGTTCTTTTTTATAGATTGGGTAAAGATATTTTTTCACTTAGCTGTAGGGGTTATCGGCAGATTTTGAAATTCGGCTGCAGTTCCGACTAATACTATTTCTAACACTTATTTTTAACAAACCTTCAAGCTATTCCATTTTTGTGTTTGCCAGATTTCACCTTCAGATTTTCTCGGCTAAAGCAGGGATATGCTATATACAAAGTTGTATTTCATGTATTAGTCTATTTATTTCTACCCGAATCTATGAACTGTTCGGGTCTACCATGTGTCGTCTATGAATTCCCCATTGTATTCATATTTTAAGCGTTGATAACTTCTCCGCATCCCCTAATTTCGATATCTGAAAAGCAGACCGCTGTTATACCGAGCCATAACCGACATGTATGTAAACTGGATTTGGTAGCATCATCCTACGTACATTAAAAAGCAGAACAAAACTGGCGGCGTCCGTGTCTTGCCCCTGACCATCTGACACTGAAGCAGGTAGTCACTCGCCATAGAACTGATCCTACAAGGTATGAGCAGGTAGTAACAGATTGCATGTTATTAGTAGCTGATCGACCTGACCTGACTTCTGTATGCCTATGTATGTGAGCGCGAACGCGAGAGCGTGTGTTTGCGTGTGTACACACATGTATGATACATGTATACATGTGTGTGTGTGTGTGTGTGTGTGTGTGTGTGTGTGTGTGTGTGTGTGTGTGTGTGTGTGTGTGTGTGTGTGCGTGTGTGTGTGTGTGTGTGTGTGTGTGTGTGTGTGTGTGTGTGTGTGTGTGTGTGTGTGTGTGTGTGTGTGTGGTGTGCGCGCGCGCGTGTGCGTGTTTGTATATTTGTATATATATATTTATATATATATACATACACAAACATGTGTGTATATATACATATATATATGCATATATATGTATATGTATGTGTATATATATGTATATATATAAATTTATATAATATATGTCTATGCACACACACATACACACACACACACACACACGCACACGCACACGCACACGCACACGCGCATACACACATACACACACACACACACACTCATACGCACACACACACACACACACACACACACACACACACACACACATATATATATATATATATTATATATATATGTGTGTGTGTGTGTGTGTGTGTACACACACACACACACACACACACACACACACACACACACACACACACACACACACACACACACACATATATATATATATATATATATATATATATATATATATATATGTGTGTGTGTGTGTGTGTGTGTGTGTGTGTGTGTGTGTGTGTGTGTGTGGTGTGTGTGTGGCCAAAAATATGATATGACATTTAAGCTGAATTTCGTGATCCGGCCTCACATCCCTGCGCACTTACCTCATAAACGCCGGTACTTTGAGTGCATTTTACTTCAGAAGAAATACTCCTTTAACGCCCAACATATACAAAATCCCTCCTTTTAAATATACAAGAAAACAATATGATTAGAACATCTCAGTTCTGCTGAGAGAAAGAGAGAGAGAGAGAGAGAGAGAGAGAGAGAGAGAGAGAGAGAGAGAGAGAGAGAGAGAGAGAGAGAGAGAGAGAGAGAGAGAGAGAGAGAGAGAGAGAGAGGGGGGGGGGGTGCATGTTGTGTTCTATACAGACCTTGAGTGAGATAAGAGACAATAGATTGAGTGAGGGAGGAGGTAGCAACAACAATAAAAAATCTTATCCCATGAGTAAAAGGTTCATGTAAAATATAAGCTTATATAAAATAAACGAGCAGTAGAAGCATCCCAGAATGCAATGCGCGAGAGCAAACCCAACCCAGAGAAATGAAAACAAAAGGCAAAACAAAGGAAACTGCAACCAAGCAAAATCCTCAAAGACAAAGAAGTGAAAAAGAAATGGCACAACCAAAATGAAATCAAAACATCACCAAACCCAAAACCAATACCACTTTCCTTATAGTTCGTCCTGTGATTCTGTGGAACTCCAGGAAAACAAATAAACCAAAGGCAAAGCAGACCGAGTGGAAAACAAAACAAAACCCAAGCAACACCTGCAAGTAGCAACAACAAGCAAAACATCAACATCAACAAACAAGAAAATAATAAATACAACACCCAAAACGAGAGAATAACCAACCCAAAAGCTTCCATACAAAAAGACACACCAAACAAAGAAGCCCAAGACAAAAACAAAAACAAAAGCACATGTTGGCATCCCTTCGCGGAGCAGTCTCTCCCTCGGAAGAGTTTCCTCCTTCAGTTCCCTTTCCGTCGCGCCAAGGTCGTGTCTTCGTCGAGTG